TAGAATATCATTAAACGAGGGTTCAGTTGAGTCTCTCGTGAAAATCGAATAGATTTGCAAATGAATGTATTTTTCGACAGCAGTATCTTCGTTTTTTTTGTGCACCATAGTGTGCCACGACGAATAAGGTTGCTTACACAGACAGTGGAAGTTTCATCACACGGGATTCGTATAGACTGCATGTTTTTGGGACGGAAGTCCGCAGCTCCTGTACCCAGTGTGAACAACAGTTTATTTGCTGAAAGCATAATTTCCTGCTTTATGTAACTAGTACGGGTAAGCACTGCTGGTGTGGTCAACACGATTTCTAGTCTCCATCTGCCCAAAGAAGAGTAAACTTTCTATATGTGTAAGCCTGGCAATGTACTGCTGACTCACACGAATATTGTCAAAATTCAGACGACTGAGTACCCTTAACTGAAGAAATCCTCCAAATAAAAAACCAACACGACTTCCAACTCGCTTTTCGAGTTGTTTAAATGAACTGTGAGCATGGTGATGCGGCCTCATTTCAGTACCAACGGGACGTTTGTTAAGAATAGCTGCCACCTTGAATTTCCCAGATGTCTCTTCGTGAAATGCCGTCGCGTCCTCGCATTAAATTATTCACGTGCAGGCTGGCCTCAAACTGTGTTTCATTGAGACCACCAACTTCTAACAGGACTTTTCGTCAGCTCCAGAGTTTCGATATCGTCCTGTTCAATCAAATCAAGGTGAAACGCTGCATTAGTTTAGTATTCAGCAGTGCACATTTTCCGAATCGTAAGAGGTCTTTAGACCCGTAACAATTTAGTAGAGTAGCTCACGTTCAGGTAATGAGTGTTTGTTGAACGGCGTGCCGCAATCATCTGACTACGCATGAGTTCTTGACCTCACTACTCCTTCGAAATTATGGAGTTGTGTACCAACGTTGATGCTTGGCGAGAATGCAACATATTCGCATTGTGTCTCGGTTTTTCAAAACAGTTTGACTCAGCTGTGCCCTGCCCCTGTGATTTTGCCCACTGACACATTCAGGAAAACCCACCCGAAACTGGTGTATTATCTTGACCTCAGAAATCGCAACTGACTCAACTCATAATGGTCTACGCTTTCAGAAGCTCTGGGGGATTTGATACCGGCGAACTCACTCAGGTTGTCACTTGGCCGATTCAGTGACCACTGATTCCCCCAAACACAGTCGGTTTTCCATCAATCGGTCTTATCAGTACTGCGTGCGCGTTTCTCATGGTGAGAACTCAAGGGAGCAAACATGATCTCAGAAATGTAGACACCAACTGTTTACCTTATCTCTGATTCCCCCCAACTCACGACTACGCTGTTGCCGCCTCGAGTACGTGACTTCAACATTTCAAAAAAACAGACTTACCTGGACTGTTGTTTTCTAAGGCCAGTTGATGAGAACTTAGCATGTTCCAAGTTTACTAAAATACCATTTTGTGCTGACCTATTGGGATGAACGCAGTTTACCTGTGTAGTGACATGGTTGTTCCGAGTTACCAACGTATCGATAACCGTTAACCCTCACAAACCTGTCCTCCTTTTTTTCTGTCGCTTTTCATTCAGACAGTCACGACCTACGTGCCTACCGCATCAAATGCAACCGAAAATAACGGAACTAGCACAACAAACGTGGTTTTCTATCGTGACGTGGGCGTCAAAAGTGGACCAAACATTTTAGGTAATTTGTGCAACTGTGACCGTTTCACTCAGAGACAAGCTGAATTCTCCCGGTGGTCGGCTCCTTTCGTTCGGTCAACAGTTAGGATGGAGAACCGGCGGTTTCACTCCAGTGTAGAGCCGATTGACTACCGCACGGTTGCAAGTGCCAAAAAATCGCCACTAGAAATGAAGATAGTTCGCCACTCAGCGTATACATATTCTCACATCCATTTTTCCTGGCTAGATTTTAGTTGTTTCGACTCCATACTTCTGTCACTTGGATTCTAGCATTCCTAGTGTTCCCCATCTAAAAGTTTCACCCAGTCGATCCACTCTAATAGAGAGGTTTTTCAATGCCAAGCACCACATTCGTCTGTCCTGTCTTAAATCAAATTGATGAACTAATGCACATCACTTGAATTCACTGTGTTTGACGTAGTACATTTGGAGGAGCACACTTTTTACCAAGCACGTTTGGACGCCCGTTACCGCATCTACCAGTAGTCTTTACCGCATCTCCAGTAGTCTTATGGAATTCGATATGGATGGAATTTATTCTAGCACCTTGAGTCTAACTTCCTACATCCCTGGATCATATTCTATGGATCGGGCTTGGATTACGTTTTTCACGAACGTATTTCACGTTTCATAATTTTTCAACCCAGACCTCCAGCAAATCCATGCTGTGTTTCAAAGTTTGGAAGTATCGGTAAACATTTCATTATTATTATTATTTACAAGCGTAAGTACTCACATGTTTTATCACCAGGTGTTGGCAGAGTTAGTTTTATTGCTTCCAGATGGTCATTGATTTTTTATGGATGACCCGATGATATCAAGTTCGAGGTTTGACCGGTCATTTTAAACAAATACGTTCGACTCCCCAAAAGTTTAGTAACAGTTCAGTTTCAACATGTAATTGCGGTACGAATCGGACACCACTCACTAACGGGTAATCTTAGTACCACGTGCCCACCAACGCAAGCTTATCGATAATTATTGCTACTGCTTGCTACTGACGCACATGACTCTATGTGATCGAAATAGGAACGGATTTGCCTATGTTTTATCCCGAAACGCTTTGCCTACCTTGCGTGGTACATGCACCGTGTTTTAAAAGTCGTGCTGTAATGAATGATGAGTTAATCGCTGGGTACGAACGATTTCTACGAACCGGTGGTCGTATGGATAGCAGTCTTAGAAAAACCAAGTTGACACGTGACTGTGTGGTTTTCAATCCACGTAGAATCATTAGCAAAAACAAGGGGTGGGCGAGGAAATTCCGACCCGAACAAAGTTCACAGCATCCCTCTTACACAACCATCTTAGCACTAGCTCATCCACACAGACGGACAGAAGGTTCAAACGACGTTCATGAGGGATCATCAAGTAAACCGAACCAGAAGAACTAGACTCTAGGCTGGACCCAAACACCTTTAGGTTTCCCCACTGACCCAACACTTGTTCAACCACTCTAACACACAAAAATCCCTCGGCCGACACCCAACAGAGATTTAGCTTGACTTAGCTGATTGGTTCTCCTTCCGCCTTAAATCTCGACCAACCTCAGAACCTAGTCACTTGGCCTGACGAAGCTTTTGTGCCAAAAGCGAAAACAATAATGGTCGTTTGGGAAACCCGACAAATAGGGTTGCCGTGCGCCATATTGCCCCACTTTTCAGATTCACTGCCGTGAGTGCATCCATCTATTATGTTCACCTGACCTGGATAACCTTTTGAGAAGTTAAGTTTGAAAAGACAGTTCAACTGGAATGTTGAAAGGGCTGTCGTAAACAGTCGAATTGTTTGTAGGTCAAGCAAAGTCTAATCAGTATCACACTGCAGAAGTGCTGACATGCCCGAGTAGAACTACTAGAGTTTTCGACCTATCCAAACACCAGCCCGTGAGATTATCACAACTGGAATCTACGTTTTAAACCAGCACTGTGAACCATTCGAACTCAAAGTCTTGTTCTGACAAATAGCAGCAATCCCCATATTGTATCCAGTTTCGCTTCATTCAGCTTTTGCAATCTGCACTCTTACATCTTACTTGCAAACATTTCGAGCCGCCTTCTCATAAAACCATCTACTTCTGCGCGCTATGCTCAAAATCCACTCTGATCCTCTTGTCGTTCTTTTAACTGCACAAATTTTAACCAAACCGTACAACCTGACTGTAGTTCTAACAAGGTTTTGGTGTAACTATAGCGGAAGTAGTAGCTGTTCACTTTGCGTTCATATAATCGCTTCGTAACTTCCCATGAGTTGGGTAGTTTGGAAGCTGGTAAGTATGATGTTGGGGAACGAAATGCGAATCTCCTGATATTGCTGTCAATATGCTGGACAATACTTCGTCGGCTGCTTTGAAGGTGCACAAGGAACATTACACTTTAAACTCCTACGTTCATAACTTTGGTTTTTTTGACCGTGGAACTCCGGTTTGCCGTTATATTGACCGTGATGAGAGTTACTCGTGGGACGCCGAGGGACCACTTCACCGGAAAAGTTCTGAACTCCTTGCCCATTGGTAGTGAGTACGGTGTCGGGAATACCATACCGAGCAAAGCGAGCCCTGGGCAGTTTGACAATCACTGATATAGTGATCCATCTAAAGACACTACTGTAGTGGTTAACCCCTACACACTGGTGTACTGGGTTCTGTTCACCGTTGGAAACCAAAGACTCTTCATTGCAACGTCGCTTTCCCTCCCTGCTCTGCTTTAACGGTTGGACAGACGTTACATTTGGCGACACGATCCACAATTTGGCTGGTAGCTTCGGGACAAATGTAAACTGTGTTTAACTTCTATTTTTGGTTATAATCCTATTCTGGAAATGCAACCAAGGCTCGGGGTTAAAGTTTACAAAGGTCAAAAGAGACGCCTCAGCGTTGCCTTTGACGAAATCCAACATTGTCATACTTATCGTCCAGTGCCTAACTACCACCGGAAGTAAACACAAGGGCTGAAATACTGCCAGGTTTCCCAAGCCTAGTCAGGGGTAGTCGAGAGGCAGAGGTCGGGTCCGAACCACGAACCTTTCGGTCTATAAATTCGCGCCATAACCACTGAACGTGAAGCTGACTTACACTCAAGCTAGCGAGCAGCCAAGTGGCGGTACGCATGTAGTAAAATTCGAACTTCATTATGAGTACTAAAAATTCGGCAAAATAATTCTCTGACCCACTCAAAATTTCCAACTTGCCAGAGCTTAAGATCTCTTTTGAATTTCGTACCCATAGCACCTGTTTGAATCTAGTCAACTCCTTACTGTCACTGCTCACTGATGATTTCCGTCCCGGGTTATTTTCTTTCTCCTTTGGAATCTACTACTGACACGTGATTCTTCCTGTTTCTCTATCCTCTTTTGCGTTTGCTTTTGCAGGCATACTAGCTTCCAGTTTGGTACTGGGCCTTATTGCCGGCTCACGAGTGGAGAAGACTGGACCGTTTATTGCACTTGCCGAGGCGGTTACCGAAGTGATGACGGTGCTGATTGAAAAAACAGTAAAGTATGTATGGTCCGATGTTCTTGCCCTGGTCTACCGCCGCATGGTTGGTGAATACACACTTTTATCGGAGTGCTAGAGAATTTTGTGCGGAATGCGACAAAAACAGTTTCATTTTCATCAGGTTTAGCTTTTGCTGAAGAGTTTTGCCTTTGAGGAGACCAACCGAAAGGGATGACCAAAACTTGTCTCATCTGTCCCGAGAGAGCCCCATAACTCTGGCGACTAAACCCTGAATAAATAGTGGTTGACGTTGGAAAATTCCCTGATTGGAGATGGTTTGATGTGATTATAATCCAGGATATGCGCTCGAAGAAAAGTATGTGCAAACGATGGCTACTAACATAGGTTGAACCCGGTAGTCTGTTGTTTCATCTGTTAGACATAGCAACCTCGCATTTTTCACCTTTTATTCCCTTTCTAAGTGCCACATCACTGTAGAGATACGACAACTTAGGTGGATGAGGTGCTCCCGTTCCTTTCGTTATCATACCCCCAGTATAATTCTTCCAAACTGAGATTGTTTTGCACACGCTTGGGATCCAACCCAAAGCTGTCACCTGTCGTGTTGGTCGGGCTTTTGTGCTGCTGCGGGCTATACTGGCTAGAACTCAGTTCCTAAAGGTTCAGCCATGCCTGGAAAGCCAACAAAAGGGAGCAGCATGACGAAGAACGGTGAGTCCCCGTACTGCCAGTAATCGTATTACGAAGTGGTCTGGAGGTAAAGTCGTACTGTCCTCTGCAATAGGAGCGTGAAGGCAGAAAGCCACTTCCTCCAGGTGACCAGCATGTCCATATTTATGGAATAAGCGAGGCTGCCTTCTCCCAAGGAAGGACGGGTTAGAAAAGATCGGCCCTGAAAACCGCACACTCTGATCGCCCAACGGTTGACCGTGACTGTCGGCCCATTATTCAAATTATTCAATCGGTCGAAATGCTTTTAAAACTAAAGATCCCGGTACTGCTCAAAGGGCACCTGCTGTACGAAGCTGCACTAGGAGTGAGACAGTAATGCCCTACTCCCGGCGCCCTCGGGCCAGGTCGACCATTGCAGCCAGGCGGGTCAGTCCATTGAGTCCATTGGCTCAGAGAGGGGTCACCCAAGATAACCCTGACAACCGCTGCCTGGAGCGTCAAACTTTTGAGTCAGAAGCTAGGGGCAGGTTCTATGAACAAAACCCTACATCCCTCCACTGACTTGTGGGTCAGACTTTGAAGTCAAAGACTCAAGTGGGGTATCTCAACTAAACCCGCTTCTTCGGCTTGGCTCTTCGCTTACCGGCCTTTTCCCACACTCACTCCCCAACAGTCGAACGATGCAGTGTAATCAACCCATCTGCCACCTCTCTAGCCAGTATTCCGTGATTAATAGTCACGGAATAGTCACTTAGCAACCTCGGATGATGTGACCCCCATTGCAGCCTTTAACGTACGTACTCTACGTCAAATTAGGCAATGGGAATCTCTTGCTGAAACCTTGCTTACAATTTCTGTCGATGTATGTTGTGTCTCCGAAACACGCATACAAGAACCCACCTCGGTCGTGCACCTCAAGTCGATTGGAACGAGATCAGATGTTCTACATTTCATTCTTCGTAAATCTGGGGATCCTGACGCGATGGCCCGTGGTATCTACGGTATGGGAGTTGCACTCTACCGCAAGGCTGAAAGTGCCTTACCAGACTGGATCCCACTAAACAGTTATCTTTTTGCTGTGCGGTTGTCTGGCTTTATTAGGACCCATGCAGGTCAGTGGGGCAGATGGTGTTTATTTCTCGTATCAGCATACGTCCCTACAGACTGAAAAAGACGGATTTTACCAAAATCTGTCGCGACTACTTCAGTCAGCAAGAAAGACGGATGATATGAATGCCCAAGTACCCCAACAGTCGAACGATGCAGTGTAATCAACCCAGCTGCCACTTCTCTAGCCAGTGTTCCGTGATTAATAGTCACGGAATAGTCACTTAGCAACCTCGGATGATGTGACCCCCATTGCAGCCTTTAACGTACGTACTCTACGTCAAATTAGGCAATGGGAATCTCTTGCTGAAACCTTGCTTACAATTTCTGTCGATGTATGTTGTGTCTCCGAAACACGCATACAAGAACCCACCTCGGTCGTGCACCTCAAGTCGATTGGAACGAGATCAGATGTTCTACATTTCATTCTTCGTAAATCTGGGGATCCTGACGCGATGGCTCGTGGTATCTACGGTATGGGAGTTGCACTCTACCGCAAGGCTGAAAGTGCCTTACCAGACTGGATCCCACTAAACAGTTATCTTTTTGCTGTGCGGTTGTCTGGCTTTATTAGGACCCATGCAGGTCAGTGGGGCAGATGGTGTTTATTTCTCGTATCAGCATACGTCCCTACAGACTGAAAAAGACGGATTTTACCAAAATCTGTCGCGACTACTTCAGTCAGCAAGAAAGACGGATGATATGAATGCCCAAGTTGGACAACGAAGTCTGGAAGAAGTACAATTGGATGGTAGATTTGGAGTCGACTCAAAGTACAACAAATGAGAGGTTCTGCTGAGCCTTCCGTTAACACTAAAGCAATTTTCAAGTGAGTGTATTCCCCTAATTTCGCGCAATTCACTGTTCGACTGCGCCACAAGATTGGTGAAAATTCGTGAACTGTGCGTATTTGATGAACACATATAGGGGCATATCCGGTAGTAGGCCGTCGAGGTGTTTTCAGCAACCTCATAAGTAGTGCGGTGGGTGGGGAAAATTTGGTTGAATTCCCTATATATGACCTACTTTCCTCTTAGACCGTAATAAATGACGGTCTCAGTCGATCAATGTGCCATATCTACGCTTTAAACACCGGATCCATTGGTGCCTGTCGTCTAGTTGCAGGAATACATTCTGCAACAAGATAATGGGAGTGGCCTTGTTTTTCACTGATTGAGCTTCATTGAATTGTAGCTGACAGGATAAGTTTTTGTGACCCTGGAATCCCCTACAAGCCATCACATTGGCCCGGTATTGTTCATTAGCCCATCGCAACAGATTTCTGCATGTCCCAGTTGATGATAATGAGAGCGCCGTACGCCAAACATTGCTGAGGAAAACTTGTCCACCAGCTTGAATTCCACTTCAGTGTAATTCATCAACACAGCATTTGGGAGAGCACTCCGTAGATATGCTTCTTTGGTGTATATAGTGGCACACACAAAAACGTTGTACTACTTACCCCTAAATCCGTGCCTTATGCGTTTGACCAAACACACATATGAAGAACTTTACCAAAATCTCGTTGAAATCAACGTACAAACATGTAGCTGGCTTCCGGTAGCCTAAGCAACCACTCACTTTTCGTTAGCGAGGACGAAGGTGGTAGTAGATGAGTAGAATTTTCGGAAACCACGCTATCAGCATGCCCACGAACGCGTATTTCCATGAGTTGTTCTACTTTGGCCCCAGTTATCCTTTCCGTCATTTTGCAACTATCAATAATCCGGTTAAGAGGGCGACAGATTACTGATATTCGCCCTTTGAGTCGATGACATGGAACAAGGTTTCAACCAAAGTTTGATGAATGCCCACAGTCAGAATACCAACGTTGAACGGAATATGATGAGGGGATGATTGAACTATGGGGATACATTATATCTAAAATAACGTCCAATCCAATAGCCCCCACTTCTGGATGGAAGTAGTGCTTTCTGTGTGATCACTGAAGGTTTCAGTTGTACAAAAGTGGGCACTGCCCATTCTTTTCTTAATCAAAGTTTCTTCGCTATAGAAATCTTCAATAAAAATCTGAATCAATATTTCGCCTCGAGCATGTGTTCCGGTTCACAACCATCAGAGCTCCTTCGATCTGTGTCCGTTTTCTGGGCAAACGCAATTTGTGAATGCCACACCGGCGTTTGGGTGGTTTGCTGCAGCCTCATAAAGTTGTGAGTTGCGATTTCGCCCTGACATATGCATAGTTAGTTCGCTGCTTGTCGGACGATAATCTTTCATTTTGTGATGCTGGCTTTGCTGCAGCTCATAAAGTTGTGAGTTGCGATTTCGCCCTGACATATGCATAGTTAGTTCGCTGCTTGTCGGACGATAATCTTTCATTTTGTGATGTTGGCTAAGTGTGGCCGATTGACGTTTAATTGGAATCATTCCCACTTTCCGGACAAATCTATTTGTGAGTGTGCTTTCATTCTAAGCAGTCACGGTAGATTGTTTCTGGTCCTAAGGTATTTGAAACTGAGCAGGTGCAGAACTTGTGACTTGTCAATTTCAACCCAAATAGGCATCCATCTTCGCTTGGTCATGGACATCCCATTTTTTAACACACTACCCCTTGTAGGTAAGCCGATCAAGTCTAATTTACGCAGCTTCGAGTCACATAACTTCCTCTGGTGCAGAAGCCGAACAAATTACTAAATAGTATAGCCTACTTTAAACCGAGCAGCAGATCCAGTAAGATGGCCGCTGTGTCCTCAATAAAGTAACCCAACGTTGGTTTTAACGGGAGATCCAACTGAATCCAAGCTGAATCTACAATTTGTGATACTTTTCAGCTGAATCCGCTGTACAAAGGCAATCTCATATTTCAATTGTTACGATTTTCGAGGAATCGCAGTATATTTTGCTGATGGAATACTACTCATAAAGTCGCTGAATACCATAAAAGAGAGATTCAGATGGGATTCAGTCGATCCTCTCATTAAAGCCAAAAGTATTTGCAAATGATTGTAATCCGCGAACTGTGTGTACAATTTTGGTCTAATTAAGGCATACGACTGACAGAAGCTCATGTACTGTGCCTACCTGATGCGATCTGAAAAGGCTAAGGCCGTGACCTGTCGAAGAATCGTCAGCAATCTTACGAGCAATGCGTTCCGTCGAGGTAATTCAGTACTCGTAGTGTAGCATCAAATGATCCGCCCATGTTTCAACAGAATGTGCAATCTGACGATATCGTGCAAAATAAGCTCTTCTACCCGAGATCATCTGACATTTCGGTATGCTTTTGACAAGTTCCGCTATCTTAGTCGATCGCGCCCTAAGTCTAACTGCCCTCAGTGGATGAATATATTGCCAACTATTGAAAACGGATATCATGTCTGCTGATGATTCGCACAGTTTCCCTACATGACAACCCACTGCCGATATTACCTCCACTGGTGATGAGGCGTTTGCGGTCGAATTAACAAGCTTTGAAATCAGACTTCAGCTGCCAGCAATCTTCAGTTCAACAAAGGTATCACTTTGGAAAAGTCGAAACACTAGGAGAGTAGCATTATACTGATTGGCTAAGGCCACATACCACGCGATTATACCACAGTGACTGTACGCTTCACTCTTAACACAAGCATTTACAGACTAAGTTAGCCAGTTACGTCGTTACATCGATTTGGTAGGATCTGTTGATATGTCGGATACCACATAAATGAATGTACGATTTTGTATGTGCATTCTGTAAGAATGACAAGCATTCCCCCTAATCGTCATCCTGATCAACTTTAAATTAGTAGTCGCGTTACAGTGTAATGAGATGGCAAGCAATTGGACGAACGTTTTTTCGCACTTGCCAGACATGGCTCTCAGTGCGACTGTTTATGTATCGGGATTGTGGCACAATTCATAATGACCAGTTGGCTGTGCACATTTCCTTGATGCGCCAAAGCTCTGCACGGAGAATCCGCATAGGCCTTTCTGTACCTATATCTGGTTCCTCTAAGTCGATCGTCCTTTTTTCCTTGCGTAAGTGGAGGTCTTTTGTTGTTGTACGGCAGCGAAGCATCAGTGCTGAAAACTGATGTCATGCTGTCGATGATGATGATGACCTTTTGCTTCGTCCGGTTGTTGCCCATCTTTGCTAGGCTTTGTTGTTATCAGATTCAGTAGCCCTGTTTTGTCTGTCAACTGTTATGTTGGTCGTAACTTGATGCGTAGGTGCTATTTGAGTCCAACGTACCAGCAAAGCCTGTGCATGATTTCTGCTAAACGCACGATACGTGTTTGAACAAACATGCATCTATGACCCCAACCGTCGCTAGTGGCCGTTGTCTGTATCCTTGAGATTGATGTAGCCTTGAAAGCCCTTATGGGGTCATCTCTAGTCCAGTATGTAACTGGCTTTTGTATTCCATGGATTCGTAGCTGGTGATGCTCCACAGCGCTCTCAGATACGTTTTTCTAAGCGCCTTTGTGTTCCAGTCCGCTGCGGCAGAAAAGGAATTATGGGCAGTTCACTTCTGAATCCTGGTTGGTTAGTATGCATGCTGTATGCTGATTCTCACTGTTTTAAGGGTCTACTTCTTGAGGAAGGTGACATGGCCCAAGTGGATAGAGGGTGAATTTACTGACCGGAAGGTCTGTGGTTCGAGCTCGGCCTTTGCCTCTCGACTTCCCCTGTCTAGGCTTCAGCAATCTGGCAGTATCCGAGCCCTCGTGCTTCCTTCGGATGGCATCGCAGTTAGGCACCGAAAGGGTGTGACAGCTGAACGATTTTTCTTATTTCTACGTCTCGAGGCGGATTGGTTTTCGGGATAGAATGTATGCCGATGGATCTTCAGATGAGGGTAGTTTTATCAAAACTATCTTATCTGCAGGTGGCAAAAATGCTTTATACTGACGTTTTAACGTGTAGCGCTACCAACTTTAATGAGTAGCAGTTCTTGAGAAAAATCGAATTCAGATCATTCAATCTTTTATTCAACTATCTCTTCAGAACAAGTCCATTTTTGGTGTGTTAGCAAGCATTCAGATATAAGAGATAGTTGATGGACTTATCGGAAACGTAACCTACACTTGGAAGACTGCTTTACTGGCATGATCGCCAAGTGACCCCATCTCGGTGCTTGATCTTTGAACCTAGCTCCCCTCCCACGAATGTCATTCTAATGTTTCAGACCCCCACCGTTTTAACCTCATTCCTCTCTTGTTTACATGCCACGGGCACGAGCTTCCCTGGGGAGGCCCTCTGATTGTTTGCCTTCAAGTCGTGCGAAAATTGCCTAGTGACGAGTATGGGCCCAGTTGTAACCTTTTGCCATTGTCCATATATAATCAATGTGGCAAGAATTTCTATTGATGGCCGACGTGGTACTGTGTATCAAAAAGTGAGAAGACCAAGGGGCAAACTGGAAATTTTTTCAAGAAAGGAGTGTAGTAATAATTCAGAACTGTACCGCTGTTGTATAGCTCAGTGAATGGGGAAGGATGAGCAGCGGAAACTAGGACCATAGTTAAGCTTTAAACCTTCCCTTCAGGTGGTTTACCAGTTGAAACCATATAGAAGTCCTGAAGAGTACTACTTATAAGGTAGCTGAAAACTCTTTAACAGCCCACAAACGGTTTCGGTTTTCGAGAGATTCAGGTAGGATTCGGGTGAGTCACCCTTTAAACTCAGAGTGGTGTGCAAATTAGTGTATTTCGCATAAAAAGGCTCTCCTTCCATCCGCATTCAGCTGTCTTTCAACAAGGGAAAGATAGAATTGGTAGCTACCCATGAGATTCGTCGCCTCACATTCAATTTCTGGCAAAAAATTGAACATACGTCATAGTGCTTAACACATATTGATTGATGAGAAAAGGTAAGAGGATCATCCTCGGTTGTCAGTGTAAACGGTTGAAGTAAGGTTGATCCGAACACTGAGATTCCACTATCGCTTTCATTCTTTGTCATGTAATCGTGATTCTCGAGTTTTTACTGAGTTTTTTTCCTCCTTAGGCACCTATTCATGCAAATTTAGCACTCTTGGTTCGGCTGGAGGTTGCGGTCGTTCAATAGTTAAGACACAAACTTACTGGCCTGAAGAATTGTGGTCCGAACCCAACTCCGGCATCTCAACTGGTCCTGTGTGGGCTTGGGCAACCTGGCACAGCCGTTGTGCCCACTCCGGTTGGCATGACGGGTAGGCACAGGAACAGTGTCATAATTATTATTAGTCATTTATTCTGCGGAACGGTAAACGCACCACAGTGTAAAACGAAACAAGTTTCTCGATTGCTTGGGCTTGTATCTTCGTTGTCTTCATACTGTAC